AGGAAATATTCCGTCAGAAGAAGGTGGATCTCTCGAAGCCGCTGACGGCCACGTGCCGCAAGGGCGTCACGGCGTGCCAGATCGCCCTGGCCGCCTTCCTGTGCGGCAAGCGCGACGTGGCCGTGTACGACGGCTCCTGGTCCGAGTGGTTCCACCGAGCCCCTCCGCACTACAAAGTCTCCGAGCTGAAGCGCAGCAAGGCCTAGAGGGAGGGCTGGGTCTGGGATAACGCGGTCTAGCAGCTGTCTCCAGCCCAGGGTAAAGCAAAAGGGAGGAGGTGGAAGTAAAGAAAATATCGGTTTGTTTAGGTTTTTCCAATTTTTTAAAGAATTATCATTAGGTTTCTATTGAACTTCTGATTTTTGACAAATAATAAAATCTTAGATGATGCATCTGTGAATATTTCTAATTCTCTTCTGTTACCTGCGACCTGCTTGTGTTGGGTGGGAAAAGCAGCTCTGCAGCATGAAAGAGAGTTCCACTCTGTGCCTGAAGACCTGCAGAAATTCCAGTGGCCTGGTGAAAGATCAGGGGCAGAGTGAATCAGTTCAGTGCTAAAATACAGCACTGGGTATTGGACATGGGAGGGCCAAGCTGTGGTTCTGTCATTGACTCTATGGAAGATTTCTTGCCAGCTCACCATCTCCCCATTTGGAATGTGGAAAATGAGGGTACCTTCCATATAGCAACTGGACCCAACCCACAGCGAGGTGCGTTGCTTCCCTGGGGTTCAGGTAAGGACATCAAAAAGAAGTGTATGGTATCAACTGGTATGGCCCACTGATTATTACCCTCTACTGCTGTTCCAGGTAGGCAGCAACAAGGTCCCAGCAAGACGGCTGAGGTCGGAGAGCTCATGTTCAGCTTTAGCATTTGGAGATGCTAAAAGATCCATTTCTGCTGAAATACAGTCTTGTTGATTATCATGACTATGTTAGGAAAGCCTCCATGAAATCCTTTATGTGTGATGAGAACTTTTGGGCATGGGTATTTCATGAAACATGAGCCTTTTACTCTGCTCCTTGTGTGGTTTTCCATCAGCAAGGATAACCCTTCTCTAAACTGTGTGAAACCATGTTTCCTATGGAGCTGGAGCCCACAGCTCATAGAGGCAGAGAGCATTGTTCCCTAGCAACCATCTCTACTCTTCAGCCTTCATCCCACCTCCATACCTGGACTTCAGCAGGACTCCCTGCTTCTACAAACCACCAGTCACCACACCGGGGATCATGGACCAGGTGAGAGAGGTGGTTATGGAAGAGGCTTTGCCTCCTGGTAAACCATAGATATTTGGGTTTTTTAATCAGTTAAAAAAAAGAAGAGAGAGAAATGTCATGTTCACATCCATGGGGCTCCTCAGGTTTGGAAAGTCACTGAAACCTCCTCACACTTTGGAGACCCAGTCAAAGGTGGAAGGCCTATGAGACCACTCTTGGCCATGGCTGCTGCTGGTGAGAGTGGCCAGTTCCCACACCTGTCTAAGGAGGTTTTCTGCCTGGGAAGAACAGCTCCCTCTTTCCTCAAAGGCTGCATGTCAGGAAAGTCAGTGTTAGGCTATGCTAAACATTTCCTTCAGAAAGAAAGATCACGTTTAACCCTTCTTAGCTCTTTGATCAAGATATATCTTTTCTGATTGGTTGCCTATTGTCCCTCACAGAATTGGTTTAGCAAAGCAATAAGTAGACATACTTCTGTGGTTTCTGTTATCCAGGAGGATGGTGAAATGGCCTTAAGTCCTTCTTGACCTCAAGGTGTGGGATTCTCTGAGCAGTGCTTTGATTTTGGACCTTCAGGGTCAGAAATAAAATAAAAAAAATAACAATCACATGCAGTTGCAGTGTTTTTGTAATAACACTGACAACAACATCATATACAATTACAAACTGGAAAGTAGGAACAGTTGCAGGCTTTGGTGTCATTTTGTCTTGAGAGGAGCTGGGGAAATTATTGATGAAAGGGATTTGGGAAATGAAGACATTGCCTCATTAAACAGAAACTCTGCTTTGTTGGAAGAATTGGGAGAGGAGGAATTTCTACATCAGCAGACTGGAAAGTTCTTCCTACCGAATATAGTAATAATAACAAACAGACATGTTTTTGTTTTAAGTAGGAGGTGGGAGTTAGCACAGCAGTTTATTTAGCAGCAGCTTCCTGCACTTTGATCATGTGTAAGTGTATGGCTCTTCTTTAAAAAGAAAGAAGAGTGATAGAGAAAAGAAGCAGATCATTCCCTGTGAGTCAGGACTGGCTTCCTCTCCTCATGTCTTGTGGCTCTGTTCTTTTTGTGGGAGAGGTTCTGCAGAGCATGCAGCGCTGACTCCTGGAGTCTGGCTGATACAGTAACTTCAGCTTCAGGATCCCAATACTGTGTTAAGACTTGGTGCTGCAAAGACTTGTCTCAGTGTAAAACCCAAGCTGCTGCTGATTCACAGCAGCCCTGGTGGAGCACTAGGCTTCCTATCCCATGGGCTGGCACCTTCATTCCCACAACTGCCTCAAGAGCAGAAGGTAAGCCCCATGTCATGTCCTGAGCTAATCTGACAAATCCAAACATACATTCCTACCTGATCCAGATCCCATTTGTCCTGCTGCTTGTGCCAGCATGCTCACAATTACTGTATTCCACCACTGTGGTGGTACCACTTGTCAGTTTCTCTGGGTCTGGATTGAAGGCACTTGAGACAGCAGTTCACGTTTGGACTCAGGTGTTTATTATTTCTTATCAGTGAAACAGTCTCACCACTGTGAGTTTGGCAGCTTTTCATTAGAAAGCACAAAATGGCTAACAATCTCTTGTTACAAGGTCTTTTAAGACTAAACTATCCAATTAAGAACTGACAACTAGATTATTTTCTCTTTTAACTCAATAACTGACCCCAAGGAGCCCCCAATGCAGGCTTTCCTGCCCAATTACAAAATGCCACCCAAACCCATGAAGAAGAAGGAAGAAGCAGCATGAAGAAGAAACCCAGGATGACACCCTGTGCCCTCCATCTTGCATCCATCCACAACATACTAAAAATCCTAAAACCTAAATTTCTCACCAGGTGATACACCTACACTACTCTCTACAATCTATTTCACACTTTTGTGCATTCTAGTCTATCTTGAACTCTAGGAAACTTTCTCCATGAATGAGGGTCAAAGTCAGTGCTCCCCAGGGGGTCAGGGCACCCCAGAGCAGACAGAGAAATATTCCTGGTGCCCTGGGTTTCCACACACCACTATGGGCCAGGGCTTTGGTTTTAACTTGTCACAGCCTTTGCATGGGCTAAACCTATCAAGGGCTGAGGAACACACCCAACAAGCAGGACATGACAGAGGGTTACACAGATGTTCCCTCTGCCCAAAAGGCTCTTCTCATCCTAGTTGTCCAATGCATTGCCTACAGAAGCCGCTAAGGGAGACTCAAGGACAGACCCAGGTCCCAGGGATTAGTCATAGCTGAAAGAGCTGTGCAGGGGTGGAAATGCCAGGAGTTTGCTGCACTTTGGGAAAGTGGATTGACAGAGTTTCCCTGTTTATATTTCCAGAAATGTCAAGCTCAGGACAATGCAGCATTAGAAACAGGACAAAAAGGACCTAACAACTGTACTGAAATGACAAGAAACTCCTTGACCTGGGCATCTCTTTCAGATTACCAACAGCTGGATTACAATTTGAGAGTAAATCTCTTCCAAGGTGAGCAGACCCACCACCTACCCCTGACTCTCAAAGCTGATTCCATCTATGCTTTGCCAGGGCTCAGGCAGCCACGTTGCTGTGGGTAGAGATCTGACCATAGGTAATACTCACTTTCCCTTCTTATTCCTTCCATCCAAAGTCACTGCTTTTCTAGGCTGTGGTACCTGAGGAACTAGAATCTAGACACTCCCATTTTATGTATTCTATCCCTTTCTTTTCTTTCACTATTTTTTCCCCCACAGTGTGAAAAGTGAACGCAAATCATAACCTCTGTCATCCTGTCCAGAGTTGTCCAAATGGACACCATTTGCATTTGTCCAAATGGACACCAATGTTCCCTGCCATCTCCAGTTGCTAGTTACCTCCAGTTCAGTTTCAACATAATTTCTGTTCCAGACCTTTAGACATGTGGAGCTCTGAAGTATCTTTCCCTAACCTCTGTTTCCAAGGTTCCCCAAGATCCCTCCATCTAAGCAAATATTGGAAACTGAGAATTCATCCAAGAAACTCTGAAATAATTGTCCCTGGTCCTAGTTTCTCATGTACCAGCATAAGGCAGATTCCTTTTCCTTATACAGTATGTTCCATGACATACTGTGGGTATTGAGGACTGCATTGTCCTTGACTGCATTGTTCCGTGTAGTCACATGGAAAAGAAGGACATCTCTCCTCAGGGAGCTCAAAATCAATATTGTCAAGACAAAGGTGTGATTAAAAGGAAGGTGAAGAGGAAAGGGTTAGAAATGAAAATAAAGCCCCCTCGTGGCTAGAAGTAAAGAGGGGATAAAAAGAGAAGTCACAGTTGGCAACTCTTTGTTAAGTAATGTGGCAGAAAATGAGATCAAGAAGGCCTGGAGTGGTAAGATGGTGGTGATTTTGTGGAGCTGTGCTGCTAGTAGCTGCTAGGCAGCTAGTCACATGGATGAGAAGATTCAACAGGAGGTAAGTGGGCGCTTGACTGAATAAAGATGGGATACAAATAAAGATGATACCTTGCAGCACCCTTTGTGTGCATCTCATACTTGAGGATGAAAAGCAGATAAATTGGCAAACACAGGCAACCTCCTGGGTGATGATGATGAAGCTATTTTTCAGCACCCAGCCTCAGACCTGATTGAAGGTACTGCAGTCATCACATGCCTTTTCTTAAGCCCTGGCAACTGCTGGTGTTGCTCACCTGCTCAAATCCAGGACTGCAGTAGGGTGATTTCTACATACAATTCCTTATTTGCTGTTCCTTACAGGTGGCCCACTGAAGATCCAAAGCTTGATGAGAGATTCCTACACCCCTGACATATTTCAGAAGGCAGTCAGAGATCCCAGACATTGGCATGGAAGGAGAATTAGTGAGCTAGGTATGACTTCTGCCAGGAGAAGTACATTGCTGAATTCCTGAGATGGGTGCTGCTTCTGCCAAGGACAAAGGATTAACTTGGGCAGAGGCACAAGGGGAGTAGAAAATGGCATTTTAACAAGAGAGAAGCTCTACAGCTAGAATAATCTTTGGGGTATGATAGCACTAGGAGGGAAGCTGTAACTGAACTATGATTTCCCTTCTTTACAGGGAGATGGTATGAGAAATATTTCCTAGATCTTAACGTTCAGAAAGAAATGAAGAAATATGGCGGGAGTAAAAAAGACAAATCCTAGAAGATGAAGGTTGAAGACTGGAGTGCATTCAACAATGAGTCTTTTTCTTCCACCATCTAATAAACCTGCCTGTGAAACCTGAACCCATTGCCTGCTAGCTGGCAACAGCAGATTTGTTCCTGGTGCTTTCTCCCCTCTCTATAAAGTTTTTTCTGGGGAGAGCAGTGTGAGATAAATCTGAATATGCAAACAAGAAAAAAATCACTTTGTTATTTCCACCACAGGTACGGTGGGAAGGATTAGTGTGTGATGTCCATACCCTTGCAGAAGGATGTGGTGTTGAGAGGAGCCCACACAGAAATTCACCTGCTCAGCTTGTAAGTTGGAGCAGGACCTGTGAGTGGTGTAAGAGGGCAGTGGAGGAAGGGGTGTGTGTTTGTGAGCAAACTCATCTTTGTGAGAAGATTCATGATGCTTTGACAGCTACCCCACCAGTCCAGAGAGCACAGAGGATGCACTGGGATCCTGCCAGGGTTGTCCCAGCAGCAGAAATGTGCTAAAGCAAATGGAAATTCACCTGAGAAGAGGCAGCATCAGGCTGTTTGTGAAAGCTCATGCTATTTACAAGCCAAGACAGTGAAAATAAAACCAAAGAAACAACAGGTTATTCCACCTAAAGGGAACAGGAAAGCTGTAAGAAGCCTCAGGACTCCTCCAATGCACAAATCACCCCACAACATGCATGTTCCCTTACTGAAGCTCTCATAAGCCCCACTTGCCCCTGACAGACCTTTACCTAGCTCAGAGGTAAGTGGCTCTCAGAGAGAAGCACATGCATCCAGCGTCCAGTCTGTTCAACCTGGAGTTCAGGGGCGTATCTGGGCAGCAAGTAAGGACCACCCAAGGGTTGAATGATGCAGGCTATGCAGGGTCTTTAGTGCTTCCTGATGTGTTTTTCTCACAAATGTAATGGTCTTTATTGCAGACTCTGCCTTCCAGCTCCAAAGTGTAGCAATTTGGTGCAGCAATCACAAAGTATGTTTCTGGGAATAGCAATGCCCTGTTCTTCCCCATCTGGTCCTAAGCTCTCACCATTTTGGAAGATTGATGCTTTGCTCAATAATATGAACTGTTTTGGGACAGAATTAGGATTATTACTTCACCATTGGCTGGTGATTAGATAACAGTATGCTGACTTTGTTAAAGTAGTGAAGGAGGTTAAAATTTAACTAATATGATAATCAAGTGATAATCATTCTCCACCACCAATAATTACCTGAATATTTCCAGGCAGATGTCCAAGTCTTTCCAATTAAGGAGACTGGCCAAATTGCAGCTTGTAGAAACGTCCCTGTGGGTTTGCTTTGTACATCAGTACTGAGTGGCTGCTGTCTGAGCACACACCACTCTGGCCTGCCCTGAACAGCACAGCTCTGCAGGAACAGCCGGTTCTCTGTGTTGCACCCAGCACTGATGGCCAATATAACTCCAGGTACATAATGAACACTGTCCTCTGAGACCACAGCAGGTCCTAGTCCAGAAAACATGGAGCTGAACAGAAATCTACTGATGTTATTTGGCATATTGGAAGCAGGCAGTTCAGGGCACAGTCAGCTAATAGGCAACACAATGTGGGATGAATCCACACATAGATGTAAAAATTGTTCCTACTAGACATTAAAAATGCCTACTAGCCATTAGAAATGGACACTAGGGCAAGCAGGCAGACTGCAGGATTATGGTTCAGCTGGAAGCAAACACCTTTTTACTATTCATGAAGGGTTCATTAAGAGAATAGATCAGAAGAGAAATGGACTGCAAGGTCCTGTTGGTGCACCACTGGGCACAAAATGAGGTATTTGCCTCTTGCAGTGAAATGAAGGCACTGTGTATACCTTTTACAAATGAAGATATTTTATAACCACTTAAATAGTATAAAATACTTGGTGTTGTATAATGCACTCAAATGGGTGACAGCTGTTTGATGATAAATGAACATACCTGTGTCAATCCCCCTTCATCTTCTTTGCTTTCCCAAATGGTACAGCTCAGCCAGGAAAAGCCACTTTCAGACAGGTGGCACATGAAAGCTCCAGAGATAACTGAGATTATAGTTTTCAGTAAGGCAGCACAGCCACTAGGGACAATCAATACCTGAAGTCTTTGAGTGCTGAAAAGACTAATTTAGCCACAGCCTTGGCAAGGAGCATTTTCCTGTGTGGCAGAAGTGTTTTAGAGTGCTTTGGATTTCTAAACACATATATGGAAAGCCAGCCTTGGAATCTCCAGGTACCATGTCACATGCAGTTAGAAAAGAACAGAGTTGAAATAAGTGCTCATGCTCACAGCAGGTGAAATCTCCCTTCTATCCATTCTTCAGCTCTCAATAGTTCATTCCATCTTGCTTGTTTTGTGCTGGTGTTGGCATTTCCCTGCCCATGCTCTGAACTGAGTCAAATTGATAAACCAGCAGAAAATCAGTACAGAAGGAAAAACAAAACAAACCAGAAGTTAACAGGTTAACCATTTAAAATTTCTAAGCAAGGCAGACAAGGCAATGAGTGATGGGATATGCAGATGTGGGGAAAGAGGAGGAGAAGGAGAATAGAGATGAAAATGGCCCTTCACTGCCTTTTTTATGCAGCAAGAAATTAGTTTGCCTCCAGTGTATTGTCTCACAGAACGCAGTGCTTTGCAACACAGGTAGCCCGTATTTGAGTGATTTTACAGGGTCTGATCATTGGGTGGCAGCTCTGAGCCAGTGTTTTTATCTGACAGCTCAGAAACTGGAAAAAAAAATGAGTTCTTCTCTGGTTTAGCGAAAGCATTCACTGAAATTGCTATTAAAGAACTGTTTAGGTCACCTCTAAAGAGTCGGTGCACTTGAAATATAATCAGACTACAAGGACTTGAAGTAGAAGAAGCTGGTTTCACCCCAGCTTCTGCAGCACTCTCCTCACAGCTTTTTCTAGCAGTAATGGCTACTTCCCAGTTCAGGTTTATGCATCACTGCAGTTAAAGCACAGGTCATTTTGCATGATATCACTTGCAATAAATATTTCCTATTATCCAAACAATATTTTATTTTTCTTTTCATTTAACCCTCTCACCTCTGCCTATTTCATGCTTTCCTGAATGATTCCAACCTTTGGTATCTCCACTGTGAATGACTTTGAATGGCTCATATAAAGAGATGGTAACAACTGTAAGAACAGAGGACAGACACTGCAAAAACTCCTTTTAGCGTCTTCAGCCAGCTATTTGATTCAATCCTTTGTGCTGTAAACTTGCATGGAAGTAAAACTCAAATTCAGAGCTACATCTATCCTGAGGTAAGCCCGGTATTCCTAAAAGAATGGAGACTTACTGCTGATCCTGCCCATAATGGGATCAAAGAGAAATCCAGCACTGCTTAAAGTGACAAGAGATCACAACAAAAAGGGAGCAGGTGAATTGACTTCAGTGGATTTCACTCTCAGGCAGTTTAAAATACAATTGTGTCTTACATTTGAAGGTATTAAAAACTCTTATTCATGAAGAGAGAATGGTGATTTGAGGGTTAGGAATTACCTGTGGTGCTCCACTTGATAGTGGTAGAGCAAATGAGCTGAGGAGCAAGAAAGGTATCAAACAAAACCAAAACTCAAATGGTGTGTTCCTCAGGGTTCACTTTGTGTTTTCCTTGCCACAGACTCCTCTCTGACAGAGCCAAGGCTTCCTGGATTGAAGGTGGAAAAGCAATGACCCGGTGTCAGGGGTGGGAAACAGTACAAGAGGTTTAAGTACAACAACTCCTTACAGATGGAGAATAGGCTTTCTCAGCTTTGGGCAAAACAGGGGTGAGGGCTACATTGAAAAATATGCAAGAAGGTTCTATTGCTGATTTTAGTGAACAGGCCTAGAATTTTTATGCTGAGTTGCCATTTTATCCCTCTTAATAACATTCCTTTTCTTTTAAACCCTTGGATTCATTGCTTCTGAGCAGGAAAACTGATTATCCAAGCTCATTATGTGCCCAAGTGAAATAATTTTCTTTTCCTATAACCCAAGAGCCTTGAGCTGAAATTGATTAACTATTTTTAGAAAGAAGCTCTAGCTAAATCTAACTTCTTCCCCTGCCAATCACACCTATCAATGGAGTGCAAAACAAGCCTATCTGAATGCAAGTGCCTAGGAATTATGGACTGTCCCTTTTACCAAATACATTAATATGACTGAGAAAGAGCTGGAGTTGTTTGAGATCTTTCACCATCTTGGACTAGAAGCTGGAGAGAAGAGGTAGCATTTTTGGACAGAAAATGGGATGATAGTGGTGTTATATTTCGAATTTTTTGTTTGGTTATCTAACACCCCTGCAAGGGGTTTTCTGAATCTCAAGGCTGGCTATGTTCCTTTTCCAACAGCTTTCTTTAGGGTTCTGAAGACCCTTGCAGTGTCTTCCTTGCCACTGCTGGATGAAAAGAAGCACAGGACTTGGCTGCTACTAACAGCTCTCTATCTGGCAGCTCTCTAAGGTGCTAACAGGAGATGCTCTAAGGTGCATACAGGAGATGAGGGTACAATGGGGTACATTGTCTTCCAGAAGGACAGAAGGAACCTCTGGCCAAATCTTTTGTACCTTCCTCAGAAGTTGCAAGCCTCAGACTTTTCTGTGACCCAGGAAGAGGTCAACTGTCTACTGCCAACTGCAAGTGTCCCAGTTCAGAGATATGAAAGCACAATTCAGCTTTTGAGAAAAATCTATGTTTTTCCCATAAATAAAACAGGGGCAGGGCCATTCTCTGGCTCTCTGGTAAAATGGCACAGGCTGGCTGCATCTGCAGCCTTGCTGGTCTCCTTGGTCTCCCACAGAGCCTCTGCAGTGTAAAACACAGATCAAGTTCTGTGTCTCTTTTATTCAGCTCAAAGTGCCCGACGCACTGTGTTACAGCTGTACTCTGAGTGAAAAAGGATGTGCTTTGCCCAGCCTGGGTGCAAAGCCTGCTGGGATGCTGCTGAAGGACACTGCCTACAGCCTCAGCCAGTACAGCTGTGTCCATGTGGCCCAGTGGGAATTGTTGCTACCCTGTGCTGTCTCCCAAATGGTGCCAGGTTGTTATCTTGGAGAGCACTGGCTGGCACAGGCAAAACCATGGCAGGGGGA